CGACGAAGCGGCTCTCGTCGCCGGGCCGCCACGCCGCGCGCGACGAGGCGTCGCCCTCGAGCCGCTTCGGCTCCATCCCCGGCTCCGTCGACTCCGCGACGACGCTCCGCACGGCCGCGAGCCTCGCGAGCCGGTCGCCGGCGCCGCCGCGCGCGCGCCGCTCGGACAGCGCGTCGACGACGCACCTCTCGTCGCTCGCGTCGTCGTTCAAGACGGCCATGACCCACTTCTCCTGCGCGGGCGAGGAGCCGTCGCCCTTCCGGTCGCCGACGCGGACCTTCGTCGCCGCGCACCGGCGGCCGCGGTCGCTGTCGAACCTCACGTCCATCCCCGACTCGACGCCGAGCCCGCTCACGCCCCACCGCTGCTCCTCCGAGGACCTGACCGTCGACACGGCCGCGTCCTCCCTCGGCGACCAGCTCGCGAAGCTGCCCTACATCGCGCCGACGGGCGAGGCGCGCGGCGACGCGGACGAGACGGCCCTCGCCCGCAAGCACCTCGAGGTCGCGCGCGCCGCCTACGCCGAGGCCAAGCGCAAGCTCGCCTGCGCGAAGCTCGCCGTGTCGCTCGAGGGCTCGTCGCTGCTCCGCGAGGAGCCCGCGGGCGACGACGCGGCCGCGCGCCGCCGCGCGTCGTCGTCGTCCTAGGCGGCCGGCCTTCCGCGGCCCCCGCCCCTGTCTGTCCCACGCCTGTCTGCCCCCGCCCCCTTCTTTGTCTGTCTGCTCTCCGCTTTATTTAACTGCACCTTTTCCTTCAACTAGGTCGCACAATGCACACTTCATATGCACCCCAGTGCCCCCGCCCCCTTCTTTGTCTGTCTGCTCGCTTTATTGAACTTAACCTTTTCCTTCAACAACTAGTTAGTTTTCACTGACCCGGGAGATGGCAGCCATGGCCGACGGCGCGACGGAGGAGCCCGTCTGCGGAACCTGCTACACGGACATTACCTGCGGGTTCGGCAGCGGCGATGAGGCGCCGGAGGAGCCGGCGATCCCCATCGAGCACATCGACGACGGCGACGGCGTCGTCACGGAACCGGAGACCCCGACGAGCCCGGCGGGCCTGGCGACGAAGAAGACGAAGACGAAGAAGTCCCTGGGCCTCCGGCGGACGAAGACCATGTCGCGGACCATGTCGTCGCGGGCGCGGAGCTCGACGAAGGGGAAGGCGCCGACGAAGAAGAAGGCGAAGCCCAAGAGCCCGTCCGCCGCCGCCGCCGCCGCCGCCGCCGCCGCCGCGGAAGACCCGGCGCGGTCGGAAGACCCGGCGCGGTCCCGCGATCGCAAGCTCGTCGAGGTCCTCCACGACGAGGCGCACGCGCTCCTCGACCACACGATATCGACGGCGCACTTGCTCCACGACAAGACGAAGGCGACGGCGCTCGAGCTCCACGACAAGACGAAGGCGACGGCGCTCGAGCTCCACGACAAGACGAAGGCGACGGCGCTCGAGCTCCACGGCAAGACCGCCGAGGTCGCGCGCACCGCGCACGGGGCGGCGCTCAAGGTCAAGGCGAAGCTGCACAAGGAGAACGACGACGACGACGACGAGCTCCGCATCGGCGTCGACGGCGAGAAGAAGGAGAATCTCGGTTATAATCACGAAGAATGCCCCGTCAAGCGCGCCTCGACGCACGGCCTGGACGTCGTCGCGAGCACGATGTCGAGCGTCGGCGACGCCGTCGTCCACGACGTCAAGAGCCTCGTCCTGCGCGCCGAGGAGGACGAGGTGTCGACGACGGAGGCGGACCAGTACGGCCTCACGGCCGCGCAGGTCAAGCTCCAGCTCAAGAACGCCACGGGCCGCACCATCCCCATCGACGACGTCCGCGTCATGATGCACAACGTCGGCGCCAACGCCTACGGCCGCGTCTCGCAGGAGGAGTGCGACGGGATCGTCGCGAAGCAGAAGGACAAGCAGGGCTTCTCGCTCTCCAAGTGGCTCGTGCCGCCGTCGGTGCGGCGCCAGGCCAAGGCCCTGAAGCAGGCGCGCACCGTGCCCCGCGAGTTCTACAAGCCCGGCGGCGTCAACGCGAACGTGTCGACGCTCCGGAAGCCGCTGCCCGAGCCGCTCGGCGTCGATTGGGCGTCGCTCGCGGACGCGGACCTGCCCCTGTCCGACTTCGAGGCGCGCCTCAAGAACATGACCGACAGCGTGCTCGTCTACCCCACGGCGCTCCGCGGCGACACGATCCTCATGTACCTCGCGCAGGCGGGCGACCTCCATCGGCTCCGCGCCGTCATGGACCGCGCCTCCGTGCGCCACGTCGTCTCCAAGGTCAACTTCTACGGCCACGCCGCCCTCGACTACGCCGTCGGCAACGAACACGAGGACATCGTCGAGCTCCTCGGCACCTACCACCGGGAGCACCTCGCGGCCCACAACATGTACTCGTCGACGCTCCGCACGAACACAAGCCGCGGCTTCCACGACTCCACGGGGCGGCGGCGGTCCGGCGCCTAGGAAGACGTTAACACGTGCGGGGAACGGCGGCCCCCGCTCAGCTGCTCTTCACGGCCCCGGGGCCGATGACGCTGTAGACGTGGTTCCCGTCGGCGTCTCGCCGTTTCGTCGCGGCGTCGTAGACGACGACCTGGTCGACGGCCTGGCGGCAGCAGGGGCACGTCTCGCAGCGCGCGACGTTCTCGATCGCGCACTGGTAGCAGACGCCGCTGTGGCCGCAGGGGAGGAGGATCGAGTTCATGTCGCGCTCGAAGCAGATGTAGCAGGACCCGTCCTCGCCGCCGTGGTCGCAGGACGGCCGCTCCGGCGCCGCGGCCGCGTCGCCGTCGCCCTCGACGGCGCCCTCGTCCGTCATGAGCCGCTTCGTGAACTGCGACTCGCGCACGAACTTGACGGGGCCCTCGTCCTGGTCCTCGGGGTGGGTCACGCAGGCCGGCCCGCAGTTCTTGTCGACCTCGGCGTAGAACAGGTCCTTGACGGAGATGGCGGGCCAGGCCGCCGCGCGGTAGACGCCCGTCGCGTCGTCGCCGTCAGCGGACGTGACGATCGTCTTCGGCTTCACCATGCGCCGCATGAGCGTGTCGAGGGCCGCGATGCGAGCGTCCATGGTCCCGCCGTTCTCGTCCTCGAAGAGGTCGAACATGAGGAAGGTCAACCGCGCGAACCCCGCCCCCATGGCCGCGGCCGTGATCACCGGAAGCACCATGGACATGACCGTCATCTTTTCCGGGCGTCGGGCTGGTCCTTCTCTGGGGCGGTACGACGGGCCACGCAGCCCCCGGGCCCCGGGGGAGACGGAGGGCGGCCCCGGCCTGTTTTTTGGGGGGATATCGACGGTGGAGGCAGCCCACCACCTCTCCAAGCTCAGCTGCTTCGTAAATCGAAATCAGTGCACTAAACCTTCACTATTAGCCCCGGCGGCCGCACCGCAAAGCATGACATAATGTAATGTCATTGTGCGCCGCTGCGAGAGCGTGATCGCGCTAACTGCATCACAAGCCGGCCGCGCCGCAGAGGTCTGCCGCAGAGCATGTGCGCCGCTGCGAGAGCGTGAGCGCGCTAACTGCATCACAACGATTCGCTTCCTGGTCGCGCTCACCGCTGCCGGCGGCGCCATGAAGCGGCATCGCGCCGTCGCCGGCATGGCGACGCCGCCCAAGAAGAAGTCGCGCCGCCCCGCGGCGTCGGCGCGCAAGGCGCTGGAGCCGCCGCCGACGCGGCCGCTGGATGACACGTGGACCAGCAAGGAGCTCGACGCCGCGCTCCGCGCCGCGGGCCTCCCGAATTCCTACAGGAAAAAGAAGGCCGGCGGGAGCTTCTTCGCGAAGGCGAACTGGTCGACGAAGGCGGGCAAGCGCGCGGTGCTCGAGGACCTCGCGCGCGGGCCGACGGAGCGGCAGACGGGCCTGCGGCCGTCGAGCTTCGCGCGGTCCGACGCGGCGCACGCCGGCCGCGTGCGCGACGACGCGAGCCTGCTGGCGACGGACGGCGACGGCCGCGCGGTCTGCCGCTGGTGCGCCACGCCCCTCGACGGCGAGAAGAAGAGCTGGTGCCGCCGGTTTTCCTGCGTGCATCGCCACCTCCTCACCACGCAGCAGGCCTACGTCCGCGCCTGCGTCGTCGCGCGCGACGGCGGCCGCTGCGCCTCGTGCGGCGTCGACGCCGCGGCCGCCTACGAGTCCGCGGCGACCGCGTGGCTCGCCGCCGCCGCGAGGGACCGCGCGGCGGAGGACCGCGCGGCGGCGGCGGCGCGGGCCGTCGACGACGGGCCGCTCCGCGCGTGGCTCGAGCGGCGCCTCGAGAGGCGCGGCGACACGCTGCCGCCGGAAGGGCACTGGTACCAAGCGGACCACGTCCTCGGCGTCGCGGACGGCGGCGGCGTCGGCACGCACGCCAACGTGCTCTCGAGCTTCCAGACGCTCTGCGCGCCGTGCCACGAGGACAAGACCGCGCGCGCGCGGCGAGACCGCGCGGACGTCGTCGACTTGACCCTCGAAGAGGACGAGGAGGCGGAGGAGGTCGTCGACCTCACCGGCGCTTAAGAACTGCGTGTTGGCCGCTCCGCGGAGGCTGCGGGAGACATGGTGCGCGGGGCCTCCTCAGAAGTTCAAGCTGGCCTGCTTGAACCTGCGCCTGAGCGAGTGAATCGAGTCGATGGTTGCCGTCCGCCTGGTCGCGCTGCTTGCTGCGGTCGATGCGTTGGTGACAACAAAGCACGCATCGCTGCGACCGCTGCGACCGCGACCCGCCTCGCGATACGCGCCGCCGACCATGTCCCTCGCCGCCGGCGTCGCCAAACAATCCTTCAACCTCTGCGCGGCCGTGCTCGTCTTCCGCTCCGTGAACACGCCGCCGTTCATCGAGAAGACCGTCCTCGGCGCCGCCGCGGGGCTCGCGTTGGTCGCGCTCAAGCCCGCGGCCGCGGCGGACCTCGCGTCGGCGGCCAAGGCGTCGTCGCCGCGCGCGGGCGCGTGGCGGCTGGCCGTGCGCTGCCGGACCGCGCTGCACGTCGCCGGGCTCGGGCTGATGGCGCTCGCGGACAGCGTCTTCGGCGGCGCGGCCGTGGTCTACGCGGGCAACGTCGCGGCGCGGCTGCTCCGGGCGGGCGCGAACCGCCACGACGAAGACGGCGCGCCCGCGCCCGAGGACGACGACGACGAGGCGACGGACCTCTTCCTGCTCGGCGCGTCGGTGCTCGCGGCGACGAGCCCGGTGACTGGCCAGTTCTACAAGCTCAACGGCGGCTTGGCCATCGCCGGCATGCTCATGACCGTCGCGGACCGCGCGCCGAAGGCCCTCGGCGAGCAGCTGGACGCGTTGTCGGCCGCCGCGGAGGAGAAGCGGGCGGAGGCGGAGGCGAAGCAGGCGGGGAGGGATTAAAATCCGCCTAAGCGACATACAATTACTACTGCGCGGCGGCGGGCTGCGGGAGCGCGGCGAGCTGGCGGTAGCGCAGCAGCGCGGCTTCGCGCGCGTCGGGCTGGTCGGCGACGCAGCTCGGCACGGGAAGCTCGGGCACGGAGAGCAGGTCGTCGCTCGCGAAGGATTCGAGCGCCCTGCGCTGCTCCTTCGTGTACTTGGCGACGAGCGTGGGCTTCTCCGGCGGCGCCGGCGCCGGCCTGCCGAAGCGGAGCGTGAGCCCGCCGACGGAGGGGAAGAAGCAGGAGATCTGCGCCGACGCGTCCGGGTCCGCGGCGCCGTCGTCGCCGTCGCCGTGCGCCCGGTGCCACGCCGGCGCGGCGCCGCCGTCGCGCGGCGCCGCCGGGGGACCGCCGCCGTCGTCGCGCGGCGGCGCGGTCGACTGGGGCAGGTTCTCGAGGCGCCAGGCGTCGGCGCGGAGGCGCGACGCGCGCTTCTCGAGGCGCGCGGCGCGCTCGTGGTCGAGGAGCGCGCGGCTCCGCGTGAGCTCGCGCTTCGCGGCCTCGACTTTCGACCGCCAGGCCGCGCCCTCGGGTGCGACCTCCGCGGGCGCGGCGAAGGACGACTTGCGGAAGGTGCGGGGCCGCGAGCTCGGCGGGCTCGACGCCGCGCCCCAGGTCGGGCCCTCGACCTCCGGCGCGCGGAGGTCCGGCCCGACCTGGTCGTCGTCCCAGCGCGCGAGCGCGGCCGTGGACCGGCGGCGCAGGGCGAGGCGCAGGGCGCCGCGGAGCGCCGCGGCGGCGCGCGAGCGACACGCGGCCACGCGGCGCGCGGCGGCGCCGCGGAAACGGCGCTGGCACGCGACGGCGGACGCCGCGGCCTCCCGGAGGAACCGG